AAGTTTTTTTTCAATGGCTCGTGTGAATGATACTTGATTACTATCACGTCCCCTTGGTAAAACCGTATATTCTTATATATATATATAATAATCCCATCATACGACTTCCACGCCACCGTTAAACCTTAAGCGTAATCTTTTTTTATATGTATACGTCACTGAACTTGGCGGCGGCCATCATATTAAAATAACAAACACGTGTTGTTGCTTGTTGAATACAATCGAGCAGTGAAATCCCACTCGGAAGTAAAAATACAAAACAATATAGTTCTCGAAAATTCAACAAAATCCTAAGATATATATTATTATATACGTTATTATAGTGAACAATAAGATCTTCAAGGAGGATGGCGTGAATCGTTGCGACACTAAGGGATCGTAGAGTCGTTTGGAAGAGATAAGGCACGTAAATAGTAGTAATAATCATTATAATAACAATTAATGCAACGTTGGTTTTGTATTTTTAGGAACTCGAATAATATAAAAATTATATTTTTTTATGTTAAATAGTAATGTAGTATATTCTTCTCAGTTTTCACACAATTTTGGAACAACATAACATTCGATTAGAGATATTCGATTCAAATTCGTGTACTACTAAACTACTCGTATATAGTTATATAAAAAATAAACTTAATATTTACCATTTTTTACTTTTTAAATTTCTAAAGTTGTATTATTTTTATTAATAGGTATGTATAGTGGCTATTGGCTATGGAGCCTCTCCAATTATTCTGATGATATTAATTATTTAATAGCAGTAGTAACAAAATATTCAGTACATAAACTGTAAAATTAAAATTTTAAATCTTAGATTAGAGGAGGGGAGTATCTCTGTTACCTAGTAAAATTATAGGTTACAAGTAAAAATATTATATTATAATGTATAGTTAATATCTTTGTCAATTTGTCAAAGTATCTATGTCAAATATCTGCTGTGTGCAAAATTATCTTTGAACAAAGGATTTTTTTGTAAACTGATTTTTGTCCTTACTTCTTATATTGATATACATTAAATATATATTATTATTATTAAAATGACATAATCGTAATTTTATATTTTTTTTTTGGTAAATGTTTTTTCATATCTACTTAAAATTATGAAGTATAAATATTTTAAAAAACGCTGAAAACTTTTTAAAAATTAATATATTCAGGGTATAAAGTTTTGTAGTTTTATATTTATATTTAAAAAAGAAACTCGTTTAGGTACTTCTAAGCTCTAGTAATAATCTCTAAGTACGTACCTCCAATATTAAATTATTATTTATTATATAATATAAAAATTCCCTTTTTCATCTTTTGTGGTTGTAAACTTATAAATAACGAACTGCACTTATGTGTGTTGTAGTATTGTAAGGTTCTATATAACTCTAAATATATTTGTTTTTACCGTTGTAATAGAACAATTGAAAATAATATCTCCTATATATTAAAATGACATGACCTCCTTGACTCTTAACAAAAGTAAAAGTTATGTTTTAAAAGTTAAAATATTATGGTAAATATTGGAAAACTACTGATTAAATAAAACCAGTATGATATAATGTAAGAAGATAATTTTGTTACGCAAGACATTTTTGTTGCAGAGATTTTTTCATAAGCTATTTTGACCAGAGATATATTTTGTAGATATTTTGACTGGTTATCAAATTGTACACTCATATTTTTAAAGCCCTAAACTTTATAAATTGTATACAATTTTTTTTTTCTATAGAAACAATACAAAAATAACATTAGGATACAAGCTATTGTATATATTTTCAAAATATGAAAATAATCACACGGACTACACAGTACTAAAAATAGAATTAATCCCAAAAAATAAGTTAATATGAAATAAAACAACAATCATTTTCGATTTGTTTGTTTAAATTCAAAACTGTATTGTATGAAAAAATTAGTTAAAAAACTAAATCGCACAAATTGACTCGCCGCTCTGCTGTTCCTTAAAGTAGGACTCTATTGTTATTTAAGTACACTGTACGCACGATGCATTACGCAAATTTGATGGCGAACTGAGCAGATCAGCTCTCCGGACGCGAATCACCGATTGTAGCTTTGATAGCGCATGGATGTGGCATACACGTAAGGCATACATAAATACATAATTATGAATAAAATATATTTGCGTAATGCGTGCATGTGTTATATTATTGACACTCAAACTTTGTCGTATTTTGTTGATTATTATGGTTGATAAGGGTTGGAATGGCGGTGAGGAAACGGGTGTGGCACTGTGGCTGTGGTTAGGACGCTAGATGATTTGAAAATGATAGTAATTAATATTTAATATTTCTGTATCAATATTTTATAGTTTGTTGAAATTGTCCAACATTTTATTGTATTACAATAAATACCATAGATTCAATATTGAATTGATTTTGTATTTTTGTAAAACCATCTTTAATAATGATTGATGACTATATAATTATCCTTAGTAGTTATTCACATTTTAATCACTCAGAAACAACTCGTCCGAATTTTGATTTAGATAAGGCGGCCGGCTTCACTGACTCTCCGATTTTCTCCGGTGGGAACTCCCACTCGGGTTTTTAGTGACAAATCCTCGCCTTATAAACAAGTGCTCAATAAAACTGGGAGGTACGCTAACCCACAGTAAAAACAGCTAGGCTGTAATCAATATGTTAAATTTGTCGAAAAGTGTCGTTGTGTGAACAAAATATAAAAATATACTCTAAAAGTTTCAAGTACCCACGATAAATATCATATATGTTATATAATATTTCGAAAATTGATTGGTGAATAGAAATTGTTAAAATCGATTTTTTCAAAAACTAGTATTTTGTAGAAATCTCTGTTTTCCTTAATTTTTTGTTTGTCTTTCCTGACACTTTTAAAAACTATTGGGATTTTTTTACTTTTGATCCCTAGAGTACTAACCCCTATTCCTACCAGAAAAGATGCTGTTGATGAAAATCGAAGCACTTTAGTGTCCCAAAAGGTGAAGATATAGATTCAAAAAAAAGCACACACATTATTGTAAAATCAAAAAGTTCATCGCTTTGCTCTGAATCTAAAATAAGACAAAATGTTCAAAAAGTACATCAACTTAACAATTTAGGTAAACAAGATTGGTTCTCATTTGAAAAAAAAAAATGTTAGCATCACCACTTATGACACTTAAAAAAAAATCTAAATAATTAAAAAAGGAGGTATGTTTCTTAAATATTTACTGGACATTTTCAAAAGTCAGAAATTGAATAAATTCATTTTTAAAGGGGAAAAATAGGGGTGAGAGTGCTTGGTGAATCACCTTGTATAAGAGGCCATTGACGCGTATATACACTATCCATATGTATGTATGTATGTATGTATGTATGTATGTATGTATGTATGTATGTATGTATACAGACAGGTTTTTGTACTGCATGCCGCCCGTAGCTGTGTGTGATGAATAATATTATTGTTCACAATCGGTGAACGGGTTAAAAGCACGCGCTGCACAATACCGTGTGATAATCGTCTGTAGCGGTATCCCCCCCCTCCTCCGCTACGTACAGGCTCATTCATCACTACGACCTTTCTATCACGCGGTTATTCGGTTCCCATAGATCATCGTGGACGCCGACGACGTCGAGCGGGTCCGTTCGATAATAATTTTTGTGTGACGCGTTCAGCGTTATGCAGGTACCTACGTATAATAACACAGTTACTGTGTATAATAAAAATATATCAATTAATCTATGCTGCGGCGTACATGGTACACACCTAGTGTGTCCAATCCAGGATTATATAATAATAATAACAATATTAAACCGTAGCCCCCTCCCCCACTGAATGACCAGCTCCTACAAGTGTATCTTGGCTATGATTATTAAATATTTTTTTACCTATAATTTCGCCTAATTTATTTTGGTAAAACAAAAAAAATTAAATCAGTATAGTTACTTACACAAAACGCAAAATCGGGACGATGGGTATCTCAATAAACAGCATCACGATTTATAATACTATGTATTTATTTATGTACGATACGAGTGTAGTGTATATGGACGTATTACATAGTTGAGTCGAAAATAACCTGACAAGTCCAACACGAAATTTTAAAACAGAGTATATTAGGAATCAATTAGGCGTATTATTGGACGGAATTAAACCACAAATATAATTCCAAAAGTTGGACTGAACTGTATAATCATGTTTATTATCATATTATATTATAGAATCTACAGCTATTGTAAATATATTATTATATATAGGTATAATCAATGGACAAAGAGTATTTTATCTTTCACATACATACCTGTATAGCTGTGTATTGTATAAGTACAATATTCCCTAAGCCGATGTGACTGTGGGTAACATTTCGGTGTCCGGAAACTGGAAAGACGTGCGACGGGAACAAACAAAAAAGGGATTGTGTATACGAGATAATGTATTATTATATAAACCTAGTAATAATGTTATAAAATATATAGGAAAATAACACAACATGATATGACCCGTTTTTAACGACGGTCAAAATAAATGCATTTAATGTATTTAACACAATGAAAAACAAAAGTGTTATTTTTTAAGCAATGTCATACAAATATGAAACAGAAAAATAAAAGTGAAGCGGGATACCATATATATATACATATATATATACACGATACATCCATAATATTATAATATTATGTATACATCGTACACCTCGTCGCGTCGTACTGTCCATCCCGTATAGTCGTCCGTTCCTAGTCGTGTGGGTATATAATTGTATAATGATAATCCTAATAATAATAATAATAATAATAATAATAATAATACATAATATCCAACCTCCCGCGTATACGACGTTAACGTGTGTGTATACATATATAGCTACGTCTACGATACACTTCGGGCCATCGCATTATATATTATATTATTATATTACGTTATTATGACACGGCACGCAGGAGGGTGCGTTCTCCTTTTCGATCCGGAATTAACACGTTCGTTTTCGGTTATATTATTATTATTATCATTACATCGTCGTGTGTGTATTGTTCCAGGTCACAAGTCCGGCGGCGATGCGTCCGGCATTCCGTCCGAGCCAGTGACATGGCCACGTTGTCGTCAGCTTGCAGCAGTTACGTACGCCAGCAGCCCGGACAACCTTTAAAAACGCTAAACGTCACGAACGCCATTCTCCGGACGGACAAAGGACAGGCGTCGTCGTATCGGCCACAATGCACGGGTGAGCATTATAGTATATTATTACACCTATATTATGTAAGCACGTATTATGCGTAAAGGTATACATTATATTATTTTAATAATTGTTATTGTATCTCTGCCGATTACGAACTCACGTTTTTTAATCTGCGCTCTTCGTCCCTCATCCCTCCATCATCGTCCAACAAATTTCTCCTATTAACCACCGCCGTTTACCAAACAGATCGCACTGTCGATCAAATTGGATAAGTATATACTCAATAATACATGCGCCGGGAAAAAGTATACAAACTATACTAAACTATATGCGTAATAATCCACAAGTCTAACTATGCGTGTATGGTGTACCATTGTATTATAGCTTCGAGTTTGTTCGGAAAATAAAACAAGCCTAATTGAGTCGAAATTATGATTATAAGCAATAATGACAGTGGTAAAAAAAATTAAATTACCCATTTCCCTAACGAATTATATAATTTATATTATGTACATTTTGGAACCTAATAAATAATAATTTTAGGTGTTGCTTAATGTGCTTCTGGTTATCGCTATTACCTTATAGTCATAATACGGTATATAATAATAATTACTTAACCGCACTTAACCGAAGGGTGAGAAAAAGTTACAGATAGGTCGTAGGTATCAGATAACAAAAACCCATTTGTCCAATAATAATAAATAACTATTAATGAAATAGTATATATAATATATAGTATAATCGTTATATTTCGTTTATTGCCTGTTCCTAAGTAAATATTTGTATACCATACTTTTAAGTACCTATACTTACTGCTTGTGAAAATATAAAACTCTATTAACTGCCAGCGACTCATTTGCCCGACTTAAGAAATGGGTGAAATAATGTTATTACTATGATTAGATAGTAAAATGATTGTTCGATAACCTTCAAACACACGTTTGTACTGCCTGTAATTATATATACATTACTACGATATCTACAGGGTAGGGTAAAAGAGACCCGTGGGTAAAGTAAATATTTTAATTTGTGTTGACAAAATATGGTACTTAAATCATTCTATAACTGGTATTCATACACTTACTTTATAACTTATAAAAATAAATTCAATTCCACAATTCAACGTGGCGTAATTGTTTTTCCTATGGACATTTTTGATTTTTTTGATTTAAATTTTTCCGTTCGGCTATTACAATTATATTCTATTAAAAAAAATTTCGTTCTGTGGATTCACAGGTCTACAGATTATGGATCAAGTTTGGCACTTCGAAATTTCTGTGGAAAGTTATCTATATTGCAGCGTAATTACGTGACGAGTAAAAAATATAGTTCAGTTTCGTGAACTGAATTAAATTTCTATCCATTTCACGAAACAGATTAGAACGCGAAATCGATGCGACATATACACATATAAAACATAAGTCACAGAATGTAGGTACTCTTTAATATACGACTAACTCACAAACTTTGCAAGGAAATCTGACAACAGTATCCTAATTTTCGATAATGGTTATATTATATAGTCCAAATATAATACGTATATCTGTTCTACTGTTAATGAACGACGAAACATTTCCCAGCGAAATTCAATCTTGGCGTTTCCACTATATAGATACAATGAACCACAAAATGTGGTTTATTCAATTTCTAACGGTTCAATAAACGATATCACTTTCACTGATGGCCGATGCGACAGGAAACTTGAAAAAAAAATCAGTTTATTACCAACACATATAGGTACTCGTATATATATATAGCTTCCGTACCAGCTGCTCCGTTTTCCCATTTAGAGAGGAAGTGCTCAAAATTAAGCACTCACATTAGGTATTGCTTTCCAGTCGGGTGGTCCAATATACCTGGAGTTCACGGTCTATTCAACCTGCACTCGTGTAATCATAATGCGATGTCCGCCTAGTTCGTGTCGTTGACATAGAGAATCGATATGGCTCGTGCTGCAACACCGAATATGGAAACACTAGGATAATAATATATTATACAATTACAGTCATATAGACAATACAAAAAAATGTATACAAAACATAAAACAGGAAGGAAGTCGAAACACTGCAGTGTAGTTCATGTAAACATTATGCATATAATGTGTGAAGTATCGCCACTCAATGAGCAGTGATCCGAAAAACTGTATACCTGTACATAATATATCATATAATACTATAATAGATACTAAATATGTTATATATTGTGTGCCACACTATACCTGTATCGTATTACGGTACATATCAAATATATTATTAGTTGAAACGGTTTTAGATATGCTAGTTTTTACTTTTCAGACAGGGTTTATATTTTTGAATTTTCGGTTTCAGCGAAACGAAAGAGCGCCGTGGAATTATTGCAAGAAACAAAATCGCTTTACGTCAAATCGGAAAAAGTGCTCGACAGGAAACAAGAGCTCAGGCGGAGTCTCCGAAGCAGCGGTTCTTCCGACAAGGGCTCATCATCGCATGACATAGCTTCCGGTTGTTATAACTATAAAGGTACGACGCTACAATGTTTTCCAATTATTGAGTTGTATAAAAAACGATCAAATCTATAATTGTAAAATTTCCGATTACATCAAATAAATAATTTTTCACCAATACTGCATACATAGATAGTATAAACGTTTACATGTACACTTTCTTATTTATAATTATATGTATATCTATTATTTCTAAGTATATACATCATGTAAAAATTAAAAATTAAAGTTTTAATTTATGTCATTTTTATTTAAAAATGATATTTTGAGTACGACATTTAGATTTAGTCGAGAAAAAGTTTTGAGTTGAAATTATAAAGGTGAGTTTAAAACTTAAATCGTGTTTGTGAAAGTTACATAATATATGAGTTGTTTTCGTGAAATATATTTCAATTTGTCGTGAAAACTTATAACTTGAAAACATTTATAAACTAAAATTTACCGTCGAATCAAAATGCATAAATCTATTAGTGACTTATTATACTTATTAGAAACGTCTGCGTAGGTAACTGCTGTAATTGGTCGAGCGGAAGTTTTACTTGTCTGCCGCCACCTAAAAGCCCTCGACTGGTGGCTGGATGTCAGAGAAAGTCCACGGCGGACTCACAACAGCTGCAAAATGATCTCAGGCGTCTATTGAATACTGACTCTAAAGAAAACTTATTCGAAGCAACTTCGGTAAGCATTCGATTATACAATATTATTTTAATATTTTAATATGTTTATAAAATCGTATATTATAGACATCGTTCTTCAAGTTTATTGCAACTATTTTGAACTATTTGACTAAATGCGAATCGAATCTAAACAATTACAATGTATAAATTGAATAATAATGTATTTGATTTTAATTTACTATAAACAAATTTTATTTCTATACAACTTTATACGGTAAAAGTGTAATGATTTTTACTTTTTAGTTGTAAGTATAATGTAGCAGTATACTTGCTTGTACTTACTATATTAATATGACTCAGTTTTTCAATTTTCTTTTTTTTTTTAAACCGTGTAACTTTTCAATGCCAGATGACCTATTCCATTTTAGCTGACCGTTTGAATATTTTAAAAGCATAAAAAAAATATTGCGTGAAAAGTCAAAACAATTGATGCGCGAATTTCATAAATTCTCGCGGTAGAAAAAATTCTATATCAAACAATGGAGCTCGAAATAATGACATCTGCTTTGCTGCACCTCGGCCGATTTATTTCGTTTTCACACCGCATGACGAAGTGCCGTAGGTAGTAATATAATATATAGTATATTTATATATGATAATGGGCGTAGGTTACGGTCAAAGTCCGATTGACGGTCAATCCCAGGTTTAACCACGGTTAAACCAGGATCTACACTGCAGCAGATTTGTTAGAGTACCTACCTATATTATAGTATAAACAAATATTAAATGAAGCTATAAATAAATATTATTTTTTTATAAAAATATCCACTGATACTTTCTGGTTACGATGTATACATGCAATATAACATCACTTATACATATTACCTGTTTAAGGGGAACTTAATATTTACCAAAATATGCACTGTGATTTGTATTGAACTAGCCCAGATAGCAGGTGCGTAGGAGGAAGGAGGGCTTGATTTTATTTAGTATACCTATGCTTTATACTTATTACTTACACAATAAAATATGATAACCCTGGCACTCCGGAGTAAGATGAATTTAAGAACAATGTATGATGATTTTATAATTGTATATAAAATATAAATATACTGTGAATCACCGGTGTATTGTTTAAAGGTGTTTACTGAGTTTGTCCTAAACTCCAAATCCCCCTATTTTCGCCACGTGATTGTATCGTTGTAGCCATTATTTATTATTATTATTATTATTAATTTAATACGCACGGATGGATATCAATATTGGATAGAATTTATACTAAACGCGTTTTATGGCTAACTCAAAAGTCAATAATAATCGAAAACAACATGCACTTTAATGTGAACAGGTGTTCCTCGACGATGTCATCGTCCCTCCACCCGTGCAGTACCGCCGATCGGTGTCGCACGGCCAACAGCAGCAGCAGCAGAATCATCCTTGTTGTTGCGGACCGTTGTCCGCTTGCCACAAATCACTTCCGGATCTCACGGATGTCGTGACAGCAGCCACCGAAACTATTACGGATGTGGCAACGCCGGCGGTGGCAGCTGGCCCAATCCGCCATTGCCGTCGTTCCGTGTCTTCGGGATCTGTGGCTGCTGGAGACGATGATGACGAGGATGGAGATGATGACATATTCGAAACCTACTGCAGCATACCATCTCCGCAAGGGTAAGACACTACACACTACACATAAATACATAATAGTGCCTAAGGAACAATAATTCTGTAGAACATTAAAGTCATATGCCCCTGAATTGTATTCACCTGAACTCTCCTGTTTAACTTCTCATTGAATTGTAGCCATAAATATCTGACCTATATATCGGAAAAGAGTCAATAAGTCATCAGATATATTTGTTAAGGCTCAAATCAAGTCTTGTGTGTTATAAAGTCGAAGATGTTCCAAATTTCAATAATTGTATAGATACTTCCAAATATTCTGATAATGTTCCTATGCATTGCAGAGGCGAGAGGCAAGGGGAGGAACATACAAGAGGTCCTTGCTGTATTTATTAAAATTTAAAATTAAACAATAAATATTAGTCTACAATTTATTCCATGTTATATTATACTTTTATTGTCAAAACCATAATACGTATAGGTATAATATAATTGTATAAATATTTAAATAGTACCTATAAGAATTACGTATACCAATAACTAAAAATAAATAACTTGTGTTTTAGTATTTTTTATGAGCATTGTTACCATTTTTACCAACTATAATTTACTTTCCCTCAGATTTGGAAACAAGTCCAGACAAGACGAAACGGACGCAGTCGCCAACGTAACCTCTTTCCCGGATTCATTGAGCCTAACCAGTTACAAAACGGATGCCAGATGGCAACAGTCTGTAAGACATTTTTATCCACTACTTTACAACGTTTATAATATATATATATATATATATATATATATATATATATATACAATATACATTCACATTTATACTTTTCTAACTATACTTCATTCACACACACGGCCGTAATTATTATCCGTCGTCGTACTAGGAATGCTAAGATTATGTCACATTACTGGTTTCGTTCGTTTCGATTATTATTTTTTTTTATTATCTCATTCAAATGTGTTTTTATGAAAAAAAAACTTGATGCATGTTTCGCATCTGCTGCTCTGGTTTTTTTTTCGAATTTAGAAGATTTTAAAATGTGTATATGCGAAACTGAGAGTTTTCATCTAAACTAATAATATACAACGTATTATTTTGTATAACAATTACGTGGTAGTATTAACGTTACGGGTTCACCATTAAAAATCATTAAAAAACTCGAATTACAGGCCATAATTTATTTAATTAAATTATAGAACATCGGACGAGTGAGTTTTAAATGTAATTAGTACTTCCAATTATAGGCTACAACTAAATATAAATAAATCAAATTTTTCATTTTTAAATTATTATTGGCAAATGCCTAATATTTAAATGAGTTCTTTATCTTAACGTATATATGATATAACTGCATAATAATATATAATTGTCTTTAAACATCGGGTAATGTACTGGGGAATAAATTAAATACCTGTTGATTATGAAAATAGTCTCAGAGATACAATTTATAATATACGTATTACATATGTAAATATTTGGATACTATATTTGTTTGTTTTTACTTGATTATTTTAGGTTGTTTTGGGGTTGAACAAACAAAATAAAGCCATTTGCTAGAATTTAAATTAAAATGCAAACGTCGAAACGAATTTAAACAATTGTTATTTTTAATAATATATTTACTGAATATGTATATATACTTATTTATTTTCATTTGTATTTATATTAATTCAATTAATAATACGTTTTGTAATGTATTATATAAAGTAGTGTTGAATATTCAAGTTATATTTTCTTATAAAAACACTCGATGTATTTTGACATTTTAAAATTATATTTCGTTTTTAAAATAGCAGTTAGTACTACGCGTTGTAATTTAATAATAATAAGAAGAATAATAATCATCACACTGCAATCTATATAATATAATACACAATTGAACAGATGACGTAAAATATACATTTAAAAACATTATATATTATTATGAATAAGGCGTTTACCTACAATGTATACGAAATCGTAAATAAAACGTAATAAAAAGAAAAAAATCGAAACTAAAATAATGTGTTTATCATCTATTATTATTATTATTATTATTTATAAGCATACTATAAATATGAGATGTGTGACGTTCTTTGTTCTAATACGATGATTTTCTAGATATTATATTATAGGTACGTGCACTGTGCATAAAAAATAAAACCTCGCAATATAATATGTCTGTTTATCGTAATATCCTATAATAGCGGTCGTGTGCGGTTGTTCGGACGGAAATAAAATACACACGTATTAATGGCATAATAATACCTATAATATACCATAAAATATTTGCAATAGAAACGAGGTGTACCTTATGGGCATGCGTATCTATATAAGTAATATGTTGTGCGCATATAAGTGCGACGAATAGACAAGGCGAAAAGTCATAACACGAATTTATTATTATTATTATTATTTTTTTGAAAGGCTCACGGAGGGACCGGGAGTTCGATCGAAGAGGAAAATGACGACGAAAGCGGTGGCGTCTCGCCGCGTTCGTCCGCATCGCCCGTCAAGTCCACCGTGTCGCATGGCCGCTGGCGTCTACAGACCGTTGGATCGGCGGCGGCGGCGGCGGCGTCGGCGACTGCGACCGGTGGACACCAACCGTCGCCGCCCCCCGTCCCATTACGCCGACATCAATTGCCGGCGGCGGCCGACGAGTTCCGCGGCCGGCCGATACTGCGCAGCAAGTCGGACGTGGGTCACCGGGCACCCAATTTGCTGAGTCTGTTGCCGGCGGCCGTGGCCAAGGCCGACGATCGACACGAATGCGATCCGGATCAGTTGGAGAACTTTTTCGGCCATCTGGGCCTCGATCCCGACGAGTACAAGTGAGCCACACACAGCGATTTAATAATAATAATAATAATAATAATAATAATAATAATAATAATATTATGATAGTGTATAGCTCACCTACGGCTCAGCTCACCGGCGGCTGCTGGTAACGCGCAAGGTGGTTGGGTTGTGGTGCAGCGAAAGACGAACTCTCCGCGGGGCGCTTAAATTAGTTTCCATTTATGAATATAATATATCAGCGGGAGTCGGAAAAGCCCTCCGTGGTTTTTCGTGCAATTTACTAAACCGTTTGGGCTCGGAGACTCGTGGTGGGGCTGTTGCGGGTTCGAAACTCCTGCGGGGAGCGTGTTACACGTATATTATGTCTATATAGCGATCTCCTCCCCACCACATCGTATTTCCCCTAGTCGTGCTACATTGTAAGTACGTTATAATGTTACATAACCTACAGATTAGTACTATATATATCGTGACTACATATACGCCACAGTCTCGAAAACGTTATTTTATGCACGTCGTAATGTACCCCACATGATTTTGCACGATTTTAATTCTTGGGTATGCACATATATTTTCTATATTTGGGTACTACAGTTATCAATATTAAAACACGAGTCCTCTGCATATTAAAACGATTACCTTCTCGACGAAGAAAAGTCCTTAAAATATATTGCAGTAGGCACTTATTATATATATGATATGATATCAGTATATCACCATGTAAATAATTAATAGATGATATGTAATGTTATGGCACCTGCAGCCTACCTGTGATAAATATTATCGAAAGTATTTAAATTTAGAGTGCTTTATAGGTTTAGTCTTTATAAAGACTAGACCAACCCCGTATACTTAAATACAAAACTGTAAACCCCGAAACTTATGTAGGTATACATAGTTTAAATTACATTTTCTGTTAAAAGCGATAATGTTCCAACTTTCAATTACTTTGAATTACAAAATCTTTATTGTGTATAGGTAAACCTATACATAAGCTATATTACAGGCACGTTTTATGACAGTGTTATTATTACCATGTATACGGAGGCAATGTGTAACCTAGTTACCAATTATATTACACTTAAAACTTACCGCAAACCCAAAACTTATCAGAGATATACGACAGCAATGTAAATATATAGGTATTATATAATATAATATTATAAGTCTTTTGTCTATAGTATATGCATTTTTATTTACGCAATATATTATGCATTCAAAGGCTATTACGGGTCATTTTTAGTAATTCATTCAATAGAAAAATTTACATCGATGAAAAAAAAGTTGTGGTATTCAGCTGTGAATTGTGATAGTTATCTTTATTTATGAGGCCAAACAAATTAATACGATTTATGAATTCAATTTGATTTTACTACTGCGGACGTCGGGTGTGTTCAAATGTATAATGAACTATCTTTTGAAAACTTGGTAGAGATATCATATATTGAACCAACGAATTAAGTGCCTATTATAAGAAATGAGGAAAATTGTGGTTGTATATTATATATTATTATAAAGCTTTATTGGCTAAAGCATCGGTTATTAACTTATTATGAGTTTTTATTCTAATCAATTTAAAACCAACTATAAAATCGGTTACCTATTTATTAGACATTTTATGTGGCCAAATTGAAAATAACAATAAATAACGACGTCATATAAAAATGATTTTAGCGTGATCTGGTTGCATGTTGAGTTGTGGTCACCGCTCTTAAAAATGTCTTGACCTCATATAGGCATATAGCTATATACTTTATATAGCTATATATAATTAGTATATACATTATTTAATGTCAAAAGACCAAAGTTATTTTGGTGAAAATAATTTGAATTCTACAATGAGAGCAATTTTTCAAAAGCCATTATGTGGGACGTGGGTCATTTACTCTAAAAACCTACCTAAAAGTACTATATAGATCGTTTATAAAATATTAAAAGCGACCTTTAATTTATTTTTTACTGCTGCTATATTATTATAACTTTATAAATATTTAACTACAATATATGGAGTTTTCAATGGCAACACAAATAAACAAAGATATTATGCTTTGATAAAGAAAAAAAAATATGCTTCTCTTTTCAAAAAAAAACTCTATTGCAAATAAACCGCTATAGGTAGTAGGTATCTACATTTTTATAAAACTACATAATTATTCATGTATAACAAAGTATATTCTAAAATTCTAAATATAATTTACAAATATCCAAAATCAGAAAAACTATAATATTTACTTGTATAATAATTATTGATTTAATATTTGATAAAATTAACTAGAACCCGCTCTGATATACAACATTAATTCCAGTGGCGTGCCTGGTAGGAGATTATAGTTATAACATCCCCCCCCATTAAAATTTCCTGGCACAAAGCGCTGATTAATTTAATAAATTAAAATATATAATTATAATATCATATTGATAATTTAAATACTCAATAATCTCGTTCATAATGTAATTCAATTACTATAAAAATATTTGCATTACTAGCACCTAATTTTAATTTAGTTAATGTGTAAGGTTTTCAATTATTTTCCGTCGTTTAAAAACCTGTACAGATTTATACGCTTTTACCGGATCTTGCACAATACTGATTACTTTAGTATATTCAATAAAAATCGATGGTTTAATTATAAAATAATTACTTTGCCAATAACTAGTATATAGTAAAAATGTCAATGAAATACAAGGATTTCAAGAAGTGTGAAAATTAATTAACATTTTTTATTGTTACTAAAAAACTACTGTCGTTTTTTAAAATTAAAATATTGACAACTTTACTGTTCGTAACCTATTCTCTCTACAAAATACAACTAATAAAACCTTGTTGATAATTGATGTCATTAAAATTTGTAATTCTTCCTAAATGTTCTTGTTACATTGATACTAAATGTATATTGTCTATAACATACTTAAATGTATAATTTATATTACTGACTTCCCCTCAGATATAACAAATTATACAATAGAGTATAGGCACCTAATAAAATGTGTGTATATACCATCAATCCTATATTTCATGTAAATATGATTAAATCTTCCTAGTCCTACTAAACCTGTTGTGTCAATAAACCCGTATTAGTACAACACGCATTGTATAGTACAATATATTATACATGATAGTTGGATAGGTAACTAATAATATCATATATTATTCCACGAGTGTATATGATTAGATATAATTTTGACATTTATAAATTCCTATATTATATTTTGTCAATTTTTTAATTTTTCAACTAAAAAATAGTATTAAAAAAAAAACTTTTGTCAATGTTATAAGAATTTGTTCTGTGTGAATGTCGATTTGAATAACTCATATCACATATTTAATTACACCACCATTAACAATCAAGTAGACATTTGATCACTCGACTCGTTTAGAGCACATTATTTAGTAACTGTTATGGTCATTTCGATATTTTTTCTTCATTATTTGTTGCAATTACGAACGAAGCCATGAGCCGTGTCAAGTATTCAACCGCAGTATTCTGTGCGACTATGCCCTAGTTATCGAAACCGTCGAGTGTCTGCGTGCTTTTCATTATTTTGTTTTTGCGTTTTTATACGTTTCTCGTATTAAAGGTGTCTTAGACAAACATGATCTGCGAGCTAGTGTGTAAACTACTTCTCATTGAACATTACTCGACGGTCTTTGAGTTCATCATTTATACATTATATATATCTATATCGTAATCAAAATTTAACTCGACAAGCCTTAAGGTGTATATGTTCGAGTTGCTTGCTTGTACCATTAAAACGCGCAAACTTTTATTATTTCCTTTGAACGGATTATACGTTATTATATTGTACATCGTATAATGTATAGTGTACAGTGCCTGCCTGTATGGCTGTATGCCTGTATGTATGTATATATATATTAAAGTTTATATAATATGCAATATTAATATATATAAAGGTGGTATAATGTCTTTTTTCAAACCACAATAGAGTATTCCGTCGTAATGATACAACTCCTTTTGTTTCGATTACGGGACGACGCCTCATCACCTTGTATACACCGTTACAGCTTATAGTAGGTGGGTATTATTTCCAGAAAAATCCATTATAGTTTGTAATGTGGTATCTTCCTATACTTTGTACGACGTTTATTATTCGTACAAGGTACAATTATTATTATTAATTTCGATGTATACTTCATATTTCATAATATTGTTATGTTTTTTATTGTACAGCATGATTCGCATATATTATTGCTAATGGTATCAATTCTATAATATTCGAATAGTATGAGGAATAAAACGATATTAGTACAATTGCTCAAGAAATACAGACAACTATTCTAATTAATATCTTTAAGATATATTAATATCCCAAATTTGACCACAGCTTACTTTTTTCTCATTCTTTTAAACTTTCGTTAAATGGCGCCTCCTTTCTGCACTCTCAATAATAACTCCACAAATTGTGATATCCTCCAACTACTTTTCGATCGGCGGTAATTGCCACCACAGCTGACCCACGTGTTCTTTCTTTTTAACTCTCCAGAAGTCTTCTTCAAAACTTAATACATTTTCTCTTCCCGGCAACAAAATATTTTTCTTCTTAATAATTCTTTCTTCAATCATACCAGTAGTGTTATTTAATTTATATGAATTTATATTTTTCTAATTAATGTAATAACAACCTCACCTATTTGTTATTTACAGAGACTAATTATAGTAATTACTATATAATTTTTAAAAGTCTAAATAACGATACCAATAAATAATAATAATACAAATCTAACTATAATTATAAATATTACCCCGAAACGTCGGATGGCACTGTACTATTGTATTATAATATATTATTCTCTTATTATTCTCATATTATTATACCTAGCATGCAGCTATATACATGCAAATATAGGCTATTATATATTTATATATATATAACCTAATGCTCGAATATCCGAATATATTATAACATATACATTATATGCGCAGATGACACAATATATATTTAATCGATTGTGTAAGACTGTAAGCAGACCCCTTTATCGTTTCTCATGTCGCGGCCTTAAAGTGCATATATA